TTTTTGCTTGATTTCAGAATTTGGTTAATTCATTTATGTTTTATTTAAATGTTTGAATTAAAGAGAGATGTGTTCAAGATTGTGAAGTGATGAATCCATATTCATATATTCGAAGTCGGTAATTTTTTAATTTGTCTTCTCAAATCAGATTTTGGTAAGTCGAATGATATTTCGATTTCACGGTATGTTCTTGATTAATATAATATGCACATTATCGGTGTAATATCTCCTACGGTATATTGCAAGGAAAAAGGAAATGCAGACGAATTTCGCAGCATAATTAGCATTGACAATATTGACCAAGAATTTATTTATATATTTTGAGGTATTTTGAACATTAGTTTAGGCTGCACATTCAAGTCTTGTCTACATGGCTGAAAGTCAATTTTTAGAACATGATTTTTCAGTCAACCCCTTCCCTTCCTCCCAAAAAAATAAAACAAAATAATAAATCAAGAAAACTTAGCCCAATCGATTTAGCTATAAAATTGATTAAAATTTAAGTCAAAATAACAGTTAATTTTAACCACATATTTTATGAGTTTCGTAACTTTTCAACCACACATTCCATCAACATTTATCAAAATCTACTAAAAATTTGATTTTTATCTAAATTAAACAAGAGATTAATGAAATAAATAACAAAAGGTCAAACACTCTAGCCACCCCAACCTCACACCCTCAAGTTGTATATGAGCGTTGAGATGGCCATGGATGAAATATTTTGTTTGATTGGACATGATTGGATACAATCGATTCAATGTGTGGATGTACGTCAAAGGATTGTAGACATCGCAAAAAAGTGCAACTGGACATTAAAATAGATCGAGTATGGAGTAGTAAGATTCAATGATCCAGATTGAATAAAAAAAAAAAATACAAAACAAAACCTCATACAAGTTTATATACGAAAAATCTGGTTTTACTAATTCTAAATATTTTCAAGATTTCCAAAATATTCATTTTCGTGATCGTTCCAATCAATCTTAGTTCACCTGTCAAGGTAAGTGTTTTACCATACTAGTTTTGAAAACATGTATCTCGAGAGAAACGCCTATAATCTGCAAAAGAAGCCAAATCGACCTAATTAACCCCGTTCAGGTGGACGAAGAATCCCAGGAAAAAAAATAACAGTTATTCAACAATTTGTCGCATAAATGCCGATGAGACAAATCAGCCAAGCTTATAATCCTAACATAAGACAGACTCTACTTTGTTTTACTGTGAATAATCATTTGTCTACTTTGTAATAACCCAAAAGATCCCAACAGTGCGCTTATTTTCAATGTCTGAATGTGAATCGGAGACTCGTCTGCATGAGATTGACAGCCCTATTTAATTATGTTGGGGTAATATTGAGTCGTGGGATTTCATGTTAAAAGGTAACAAATAGTCGGCTTTTTGTTTTTTATATTTAAAAGGATAAATCTATATGTACATAATTATTGTACATAATGGATTACATAAGTTCATGTGGAAGAAATTCTGCCGTTGATGTAAAGTGTGGAAAAGTCAAAAATTGTAGACTATCGATAGATGCGCGCCACATGTCAATTATGCGTGAGATTTTACTTTTAAAAGGGAGCAAAGAGCATGCCCTACGTATTAGTAGATCGTTATTTG